ATATAACTCTTCACCAAATTCAAATCATAATCATATTTCAATGCTAACTGGCTAAATGCACTGGTGACAGTTAAGAGAAAGAAAATACTAATAACTGTTTTACACAGTATTTGATTTCAGTCAAAAAAAAAAACTAAATCTGAAGAATCTGATGGCTAACACCAAGATAAGTCCAAGTACAAACCACTTCTGAGTCAAAGACAACGACAGAAAAAATGTCTGATCTCAAACCAGACTTGAATACAACAGCACTACACTGATTACATGTGATCTTGTAGTGTTTAACAGGACCAGTAACAGTAGCTAACAGTAACACCAGTAATAGCAATTGTCTTTTTTTTTATACCATCCTCCATGTAAGGAGGCAGTTTAGAGTGCTTTACAAGGTAAGACTGACATGAAGGAATATTCATAAAGCAAAAAGGGTGTGTTAAAAAGGTACAAGAAACATAAGAAAAATTGACTTATAATAAAAAAATTAAGAAAGTCAGTAGAAATGGGAATAAATTGTTAGGTTTTATCATGTGAAGATTAGCAGGTACTTAGTAATTGTGAAAGTCTAGACAAGGCCAAACTGGACCAAAGGCTGTAGAGTTACACGCCTATAGTTTGTTTGGACTGAAAACTACACTCTGCTACAGAAAGAGGTTTCTTACCCTTGCATCCATATGGCAATAAGAGGAAGTGGTTTTGGAGTATTTCACACGTCGGTGGAGCTTTGAGTAACTCAAACCACCTGAACAACAAAAATAAAAGGGTTGTAATTTGAATAGCAAACTAGAAATAGTGCAGTCTTAAATGTCTTCTAATTTGGAGATAGATGGAGAGAGAGAGAGAGAGAAAGTGTGAGAGTGTGTGTGTGTGTGTGTGTGTGTGTGAGAGAGAGAGAGAGAGAGAGAGAGAGAGATGGTTTAACATTTGAAAAATGATTATTTTCAGCTCTAGATAATAAGAACAGTTCACTGAACTCTACATTTCATAATATATCTCTGCCTGATGCTAAATGTATGTAAATAGCTGCTCATCAGACTCTTATCAATCTTGAAAGCTCTTGCTTTCATGCAACAGCTTTGCAAAGTAAAGAGAAAAGCAAACCATGTGAGCCACAGTTCTAAATGCATCTTAAAATTCATAATATTGGCAACATTTAGTGCTATAAGATGTAGTAAAATATATAATGACATATTTACTAATAATATTAAGAGCAGTACTATAATCAATACTATAAGTGAAAGCACCTGGCACAACTGTAAGTCCTGATCAGAACCAGATGGATATCTGTAGGAAGAGAGAACATGTGGTAAAGGTTTAAAATCCTAACTTCAACAACAGAAACAAATACAGGCATATTTCTGTTGACTAACTAAACTTGTACAAGCATTCAACCCTCTCAAATCCAGTAAAGATGTTGCTTGCATACCTGAAAAATACAGACTTACTTTTTTGTTCCTGTCCTTTTCTGGGCTTAGATGGTCAGTGAGGAACAGGGTGGACAAAATACACAACTTCTTAATTGTTGTGTAAGACAAGTGTTACAGTCTTGAGTAAAAGCAGAAATACTTTTGGTTAAATATTACTTGTACAAAAGGTATTCAGTCAACATTTGTGTTTGAGTACTTGCTTTTAAATGATATAACTATCAGAAGTAAAAGTTATTATAAAAAATGTTAATTTTGATGAATACTTTCTGTTCAGAAGACTTGAAAAATTAACTTCGAAAGTATTCATCAAAATAATATAAATGCAACTGTTAATGTCCATGAACTTATTAAACACAATTCATTATACATAAAACACTAAATTCCTTTATTCCATGCTATTCCATCTTCAACATCTTCAACTGCAATGACTTTTCCATATATAAATATATATATATATATATATATATATATATATATATATATATATATATAACCAACAATTATTTCAGCGCAGTACGATATCTGATTAACACTGACATTAAAACTGACATTATATTTTTGTAGGTAAAATTAGAAATAGAGTACTTTTACTTAAACTCAAGTCATATTTTATAAAGAGAATTTCTACTTTTACTCAAGTTCAGTAGTTTTGTACTTTGTTCACTCCTGGTGAAAAGGCTCCTGTAGCTGCAATGTGATGGGTGGGAGGGGAACTTTAGTTGTATAAGATGGGGATCCACCATGGAAGCAGATATATTAGTCATTGTTCTGCCTCTAGGCTTTCGAGTGTTGCCTGTAAGTGAGCATTGCCTGTAAGTCATTTCTTACTGTTTACAAGTTTATCTTGCAATATCCAAGAGTATTTATGATTGATGAGACTGTCTTTGCTTGTATTAGCTTAATGAAGCTGGCTGTAGGTTAGGCTGTTAGGCTAGCATAATGTACATGCGTTAGCACTCTATCTTTTATATAGTCATGCTTAGCTAACATGTTCAAACCTCCATCATTTGTATGTTAGTAATTCGAAATATGTTTTATCATTTTGAGTTTACTCCTTTGTTGTACCAACATGCTCTTCAAGAGTCTACACTAAAATTGGAGCTAGAATGCTAAGTCCTGACTCTCGTGTTGTTATTCTGGGAGTTTGGCTGGCTGTCTAATTTTGGTTAAGCCAAACCATTAGGAGGACAGTACAGTCATGAAAACTCTAGAGAAGTGAAAAAGGGAGAAATGAAAGGGAGAAATCTGCTGTCACAATCTAGTTCTGACTGGTGAGGATGCTCACCAGAACATCTCACAAGAACAAGAGCAACTCCAAACTAATCCAAATATCTGTTTAATACATAAACATCTCAGCATGCATATTTGCATTTCTGCTGCAGTTATGCATATATGCTTTAGTTTATACTTAAACCTTTGTATGACCCCAAATCACTGTTCACTTACTGACTGGGAGTTTAAGAAAAACATCTCACATGATGAACCAGGTCAAGTGTTTTGGTAGATGAACATAAAGACAAACATTTAAGTGTGTAACATTTCAGTATTTGATTATGTAAACAATTGTTGGGAGAAAAAATTCTAATTTTTTCTCAGTCATGCTGTGGTAAATTACCCAACACACTGAATTCAACATATTGGGGAAAAACTCTAAAACAAAAATTGTGGCCCATGCAAATGTAATAGCACATTTCATAGTTTAAACACAGCAAATCATTCAGAAATTGTGCACTACAATTAGCAGAAAATGCCAAATTTGTTCTCCTTAGAGGACACATTAACTTATTTTCACTTAGAAAATCAACAGGTTCTTTGTAACAATATGAAAAAAAAATAATCTTTCAGTTTTTCCATTTTTTGGTATAACATTATTACTGTTGCAATTGTCTTATTTTTATGCTAAAATAAAACAACAAACATGATTTTTATCTGCTTCTTTGAGCTAACAGAACTGCATATGGAGACATGGCTGGATACTAAGTGATGATCCCATGACATTTACATGGAGGACAAGGATTCCCTTTAGTACATCTGAATTTACATCCATCAGATATCATACAGCAAGACAAACTCTGAACATTATAAAAGCTACAAATAGATTTCATAAATTTAACAAATATCTTAAAATGTCTTAGTTTTCACTATTTTGAGATGATGCCTAGACATCTAAGACTACAAAACCACTTCTAGAAGATGACGACGGACTAGATGTCTCCAAAATTACACTGTGAGCTCACAGTGGCTAAAAGATTTGACTTCTGAATGACCAAAGCAATTTTTTTCAATGACAGAATCCTGTTTCAATTCATTGTTCTTGTGCTTCTTCTATGGCTTTAAACCGGCGAACTCCAAAAGGTTTCTGTTGTTTTCAGTAGTCAATTCAAGTATTTTATATCTTATTCCTGCATTGTTTGTGCACTGATCCATAAATAAAAAACATCTATAATTGGCCTATTCTTGTGTTTGAACCCATTCATGCCCACTTACTCAGAGGAAGTTCAAAAGTGTGTGGAAAAAACCCAAACTCAATGGCTTCCTCGAGAAAGACTGAGTGATACATACAGGGACAGAAAACATCACAGAGTGTTCCATTAATTAAACAGATTTATCATGAAAGGCTCAAGAAAGAGACCCAGGCCTCAAGTATGGAATCACTTTCATTTAGCCAGACAAAATAAAGTGAGATGTGATATGTGACACTATCTCAAACAACACCTTTTCAATGCTTTTTGACATCATTATAATTATTTCCATTACTACAAATATTACAATACGACTCCTCATTACTTGGGAAGTTTATAATGTACACATGATAAGAAGACAAATAAAGTTATTTTTAATACAATTTTCTTTCTAAATTCAAAAATCATGTCAGTGGTATTTTTATTTAATGTTCAAATGATCAAATTAACACATTTGTGTTGTAATAAAGGTTTATTTGTGCGAATAAGCTTCAATGAAAATATGAAAATATGTCATTGTAGGAAATTGAACTGACAGTAGATGTCAGCATGGAGTCAGGTGTCTAACGCTTCAAAACACTCAACCAGTTTCTGATAGAATTGGTTCAACTATGTTGATGTTTCGAAAATCTTCATAACGGCCATCACTAATTTGTGCTAAATTCTGCATATGTGAATTAGAGCTTGTTTTATCAATTTTCTAACCATCTAAATCAGGGGTGTCCGATCTTATCTATAAATGGCCGATGTGACTGCAGGTTTTCACTCCAAACAAGCGGAAGCTCACCTGATTCCACTTAAGATAATATAATTCTTTATTAGTCCCACAATGGGAAAATTCTCTTGTTTAATCAGTCGGTCTTAGTCTTCATTTCATCACCACATTTCATCAGGTGACCAGCAGTCACAGCGGCCCTCTGCGGATAAGACTGGACACCCTTGATCTAAATGAAAGGAACCTTTTTTTGTACACCAGAACCAAACCTATGTCCTCTAACTAGCTCATATCAACTACATGTAGGAAAAATGGTAAAATGGTCAAAAAAGATGGAGGTAAGTGTTTTGTTCCAAGAGTGAAACCAGATACAATGCATACATACAGGAGCGTGAGTAGACTGCACCACCAGCAGGCGCAGAGCCCATTGCCCATTTCACGTGGTCACAGCCCGTCCTCTTTATTCCAGAGTGATTCCACTATAGATTGTAAAAACGGTAATGTAAAAAAGAATGAACCTCATGTACCCACATAATACCTTTATATGTAATATACATATTAAATTATTCCTTAGTGTCTCCCTGAGTTTCTGCCAGCTCTCACCTTCTCTGTTGCTTGTATGGTCAGTTCCTGTCCTCTCTCAGCTGCTTTTGTGTTAAGCTCCTCTCCATTCTATCCTCTGTTACAGCAACATTTAATTCATTACTTTACAATAAAAGTACCATTTGCCAAAAATGAACTGAAATGTATAATTACAGCCTGGTCACACATAAATATATCTGTATGAACTGCTACCTGGAATCTCATAAAAGCTCAAATGACCAAATATTTTTCTGTCCTGATTTAGTTCTTCAAAACCTACAGTACAGTGGAGATGACCAGGGATCCTATAGTGTGCCAACAAGAGGTTATTCCCTATACTCACCTTTCTGTGCTGCTGGCGCTCACTGTGCCTTGAACAGTCCAACGTCTGCAAATGCATGAGTACAGTAGTAGAATGATGCTTAGCTAGTCTGGCTTTACTGTTGCCAAAATGAGATGAAGCTGAAAAGCTCCCAGTTCAAATTTTTCTGTTCCACCTTAAATGGTGCAACAGTTTCATTCAGACTCCCGCATTCTGCTGCACCGTTTAAGGTGGAACGGAAAATTTGACTAAGGAGCCGAAATTAGCCTCGACAAAAAAGTTTGCTAGCAAGCTAACATAACCTAGCTAACCTAAGTAACTAGTATAAGCACCATTATGGTCAACAGTTACTGAGCTCGTGTTACGTTAGTGTGTAGCAACGTTATGGGTGAAATGCCCGGAACCCACCGACGGTTTCATACACTTTCATTATGTTTACAATGTGGTTTTTGTAGCTAGCTTATGATTAACATCCCTTACTGGTACTATTAGACTGGGATTTTAAGGGGTGACGTTAATTTCGTTTGGGCTTTTTGAGTGTAAACGTTAACTAGCATAACATTGAACCTAATCAGGTAAGCTAAAAAATGAGCGCGTCTACTGTTAGTGCTGCTAACCAGACATGACTAGCTAACGCTATCTGACGTTAACGTTACAGCACAGTCTCAAATCAATGTTCGTCTGTATCTTTAACTTGTCTGAGATATTGTTGAACTGTAAAACACACAAGAACATTCAGCTTACTTTTCTCATTTCTTTTCAAACTTTAATCGCAGCAGTCCACTCAATGTTCACACGGTCGCCTCCTGAGCTCTACTGATGTGTCGTTCACGACCGAGTCGATTCTTTGAATCGGCTCTCTCGAGTGAACAGCAGACTCGCACTGAAGAGCTGTTTTTTTTTACTTGTAAATTAAAACAAAACAGATGGGTAGATGGTCAGACACTGCAGTCCTAAAATCACTGGGGGAGTATAATTTTGGCAGGTGTCAAAACTGCATTGGAGTTCCCATGCTGAACTTTGAAGATAAAGATAAGGTACCAGAATGAGTTTACTAGGAATCAGACTTTGCACCCCAGAGACAAGGGGGGAGCATAGTAGCCAACTTCTCAGTAGCCAGTAGCCAGTAGCCAACTTCTGTTTATTCAGTACTGTGTATGTGTTTCTAACTTAGTTCAACTTAATTAACAGATGAGCTGAATCAGGTGTGTTTAATGAGGCAGTGTGCTGAAGTCTGCAGTGTTTTGGCCTGTTAGGACTGGAGCTTGACACGTGATCTATCCTGTGAACCCCCACCTCTCAAAATTCATCCCTTTGAAATGATGTATTAGTGTGGCCAAGTTTAATAACAAGCATATGAATTTTTGTTCATTAATTAATACGAAGGTAGATTAAGGATTTTATTGAAATTGAAGCGATATAACTTGGCTAATAGTGCAAAGGTGGAGGGGGGTGCAGGGAGGGTCTACTACTGAATGAAAAGATGTTTGGGAGCCGAAAGAACAAACTGTTCTATGTTAACTGAGCCAGTTTCTCTGACTCATTGAAAAGAGATGGAATACCCATCACTAGATGGAAAGTCAATTCCAAGAGTCGATTCTTCAACTGACACGTCTGGACTCAGGGGTCTACTGTCAATGACTCTTTTGTTACATATGTTATGTATGATTCTAATTTCAATCTACTGAAAAATATGTTCTGGGCTGTAGTTTAATAGCCAGGACCTACTTGCCCCTGGTAATAACTGATTTACACATGTCTTTAAATGTAATTTTAATACTAGTAAAATAGTATAGTAGGAAACAAAGTTTTCTTTGGTCTTTGTTTGTTTGTTTTCTATCTTTAAGGCCAAAACTATTTCAAAATCTTCATAAACAGTGTCTTATTGTCTCATCTGGCAGCAAATTTGTAATCATTTTATGTAATAACTTTCTGTAAGGGAGCTTTTGGAGGCATTAAACTTTGGACATCTAACAACCCTGAAAATATACCACCACACACATGCATGCAACATTCTGCATTCAGTAGAACATACTATTGATGTGAAACTGGTACCCCCTATAAGAATGGTGATAAAGGCCTTCTGAAACCACAGATATGATACCATGTGTGTATCTTTATTACAATTGGTTTAGTATGAACAGCTTGTATTGATTAAATGTCAGCTAAAAGAGGAGAGAAAAGTGGACCCTGTGTACAACAATGTAAACACTGAAATAGTAGTGTATTTCTCTGTGGACTAACCTGACCGGTTCATTTCCACCACTCACAGACTACACCCACCTGTTTTTGTGAAAAACAATGTAACACCACCCTTTCTCATCTCTCTCCTGTTTTCCTGTTCTTTTTTGTTTTTGGAAGCCAGATTTTTCTTAAGGAAGCTGAGATAATTCACTGCTATCACATATCATTCACACCTGTTTGAAGGGCAGGACCGAACTTTTCTTGTAAATAGGGGGGTTGGGCAGGGGGGATACAGAGGCTCTGTGGATGTTTGCTTTTTGCCAAAAACAAGAAAAGAAAAAGAAGTTTCCACAATAAGAAAGACGCTGGGCAAAAAACAGCATCCATGGGAGAGTTGCAAGCCACTGCTGACCAAAAAGGACACAAAGGCTCATTTCACATTTGCTAAAAAACATCTAGATGACCCCCAATATGTTTGGGATAACATTCTGTGGACTGATGAGTCAAAGGTGGAACCTTTTGGAGGACATGGATCCTGTTACATCTGTGTAAAGCTAGCATCACATTCCACCATAACAACATCACACCAACAGTCAAACATGGTGGTGGTAGTGTGATGGTCTGGAGCTGCTTTGCTTCTGCAGGACCTGGACGACTTGTCATAATTGATGGAACCATGAATTCTGCTCTCTATCAGAAAATCCTGAAGGAGAATGTCCACCAGTCAGTTTGTGAACTAAAGCTCAAAGCAGTCGGGTTATGCAGCAGCAAATGAGTCAAAGTACACAAGCAAGTCCATCTCTGAATGGCTCAAAAAAAAAAATTGAATCCCACTGAGATTCTGTGCACAAACAGAAACAGGCAGTTCATGCTCGAAAGCCCCCCAGTATAGCTGACTTAAAGGGGAACTCCACCAATTTCTCAAAAATTCTACATAATCAAATGGTTGAGATGTAAACAAAGTCATTCATAGTGGTTTGATGTAAAATACTCTGTTCTAGAGAAACCGGTTGAGTCACAATTGTTCACAGTGGTGGTGACAGGAACCAGACATCTGCAGAGTTTACTGTTAAAGTTTATGTTAAGTTTACTGTTACTTTTACTTTTAAAGCTCCCTCACAGAAAGTAATTACATAACATGGTTAGATATTTGCTGCCTGATGTCTGACACTTTGTTATTTGATAGCTTTGTAATATGATTTTGGGTTAAAATGTATTTTAATCAATTTATTTCAATCCATTCATGGCGGAGAGGTAAATTCAGGGCACTGTAAGGTGAAACAGTCCCCAATGCAAACTTTTTTTTTTTTTAAAGTTATCACTATTGTACCATCACCAACGTTACATATAAAAACTCAGAAGAAGCTGGTTGTTTTAGATAGTAAATAAAATGGCTATATTTGTGTTGTAGACATGGTGACACATGGTTCCTATCACCACCAATGAATAAACATATATAAGTATATATATATATATATATATATATATATATATATATATATATATATATGCATATACATCAAAGACAGACTTTTCATCATATTTATGATGTTGCTTGGTTGTTGAGACGGGGTTGGCTGCCCAAGTGGGTGGAGACTTGGCTTATGTAACATTATTACGAATTGGCAGAGTAGAGAAACGTAGGTATGCTACATTTTTGCTCTGGGTAGCAAACCGAGTCTCAACAACCAAACAACAGAATAAATATGATCAGCCTGTTCTCAGTGCAACAACGCAGAGGCCTGAAAACAGGAATATAAGTCAGGACGCGTCGACGTGAGGTGGAAATTTCAAGATGACAATTTAGATCTTGATTTTTTCTTCGTTGGATCGAATTTCACAGCTCGCTCACCTGCAGGTCACGCGCTCTTTAAAGCACTTCATACCGGTTAGAAGTGAAAGTAAAGGAAGCGCTTAAGAAGCGGTTTATATACGACCTGTTATATATGCTGTTCATAACAACTTAGCGTTCATGTAAACTAAGGTAAATAACTGCATATCAGACTCTCCTGCTGACTCAGACACTCAGAGACGCGATGCTGCGCTGGATTTTAACGGTCTTCCTCGGTAAGTCTTCACTAAATCTGCAGCAGCAATTCGACATTATTAATCAAACTTTGTTCACTTAAATAGCCTGGTGTGACCTCGGGAGGCATATCTGACAGTCTTAACGAGGCTACTGAGGTCTGTTTTCTTTTTAAAAGCCCTCTATGCTGGACAAACCAAGAAAGAGACCGATGATAAGCAATATTTCGCTCCTTTGGCTAGTTTACTTTCTAGTATTAGTTGCCACTGTTAGATCAGGCCTGCTGAATTCCTCCAAACACTGCTCTCACTCACCAGAACCACCCCAACAACAACTAATCCAAATATCCGTTTACATGTAAACATCCCCCCGTGTGTTTGTGTATATTTGCTTTTCTGATTTATTTATGCAGAAACATTTGGAGACTGTGGACTCAAATCACTGTTTACTTATTGCTGATTTGGCATTGAGTGAAAATATTCATTCAAAATGTGACCTCAAAGTAGTTTATGAAAAAAAAAACAATCTGATTTTCACGAAGAAAAAAACAAACAAACAGGAGTCACGAGACTGGAAGACAGGAAGGCCTGTTGTGTAAATGTGTCATATGATCTCTATTGTAAGTGTTTTATGGACCTGCAGCATGATCTGCTCTGTTTGGCTGAGTTTAAGCACAGTTTTAGCCTGAACACCAAAACAAATGATTGTTTTTTTTATTGGTCATTTAAAAGTAATTTGTTATTATGGTGTTCGGACATGTAGAAAAGTGTTAATCAAGCACAATACATTTAAATGTTTAGTTATATTGATGTATCTTGCCGCTCACTGGAGCTGAACTGTAGTCATATTCTATTAGTGGCAGGACTTTAAATGGAATTTCCACTTGTTTTAATAAAATAATTGGATTCTGTCTTCCAGCCCTGCTTACCATCCCCACAGTGACCGATGCTGTGACGGTGCAGCTTGGACACAGTGCCACCGTTTCTTGTCATGTGAACTGTTCTACAGTCACATGGTGGAGTAAAGGCATAGAGGTTTTTCAGAGTTTTAAGATTTTTGAGTTTTCTGAAGGGAAATGCACTGTAGCTCCAGAATTTAAGGACAGAATTGAATGTTCTGAAGAGAAGATCAGAGGAGGAGACGTTTCCCTCACTATGACGTCTGTTGTGTACAATGACCGAGGCTGGTACTACTGCTCTTGTGACGGAAAGGACCAGTGTGATAGGAGGATTGAGGTACTAGGTAGGTTCTGATCTTATTCAGTAAGCTTTTGTAATAAGCCAGTGTGCTGTGAGCCCTGAACAAAATGGTTGTTTTAAAACTGCATTTATACACTATATATCTATAAGTCTGTAGACACCTCTTTATCCAGCATTTTATCCAGCCTCTACTCTTCTGGGAAGGCTTTACACTAGATGTTGGAACATTGCTGTGAGGGTTTGATTGCATTCAGCCACTAGAGTGTTAGTGAGATGTTGGATGATTAGTTATGGATCACTCCAACTCATCCCAAAGCTATTAGATGGAGCTCCATCACTCCAGAGAATGCAGCTGCACTTCCCCACAGCCCCCTGCTGAGGGGCTTTATACCTCACTAGCCAGCAACTAGTCCAAAGTATTCCATTTTCTGATATACACATTAATTACACACATCTATAACCTAAGAATAGTTCAACAACTTTGCATTAAAGTCTTTAGTTACTGAATAATAATAATAATAATAATAACAACAACTTAATATGTAATAAGCCTGGCATTTTAAGGGGTTAATTATTGGAAACTGACCAGTGAAATTGCTCATTAATTATTGTTTTTATATTTTATCCCAGTTCCTACCACCTTAAGTATCTCTTTTGGAGGTGAGGCTACACTCCCTTGCTACGCTGAAACAGACAAACGGACGGTGGACTCCTCTGCCTATGTGCTGTGGGAAAAGGACGAACAGCAGGTGTTGAAGCTCGAGAATGGAAAGATGTCATATGGTTCTGGATTTGAGCAGAGGGCCACAGTGTCAACAGAACGTTATAAGAAGGGTGACCTCTCTCTGACCATCGATTGTGTCACATTCTCTGACTCTGGCTTATACAGATGCTCCCTTAAGGATGGAGAACACGGATACCCTGATCCCATCTCTCTGATTGTTGAAGGTTTTTACATTTTCATTGTCTTTTGTATTGACTTACTTAAAAGAACTACAAAATATTAGCCTAAATAAATGCTACTGAAGACCTGCTACTATAGGTGGAGACTGTGTTTTGTGTTGTGGGTATTGTTTACATGCAGATCCTCATACAACTACTGCTATGAACAAACACAAATGTTATTAACATATTTTTAACTTAGATTAGATGAAGATATTAATGGGTTTACCAGCTAAATTGGAAGAAAGTGATAAAGCAGTAAAACAGCAGTATAACCAGTGGCTGATTATTGTCTGTAAATCAAATTATTTTTCACATATAATCCCATAATCGCACCATTCTACAATTTTAAACAGAAAAAAAGCAACTTTTCTTATTTTCTGTGACATACTTTGACCTACAAAGCTATTATGTATGTTAGTATTATTTGATGAGTTATTAAGAAGTTAACAAATGTCTCTGTTTTTGCTCACAGCTCATCAGTATGTTCATCATAAAAAGGTGGGTGACTCTGTCCTGCTGGATCTAGTGGTTCTACCACCAGTGATGGTATATTTTAAGGAAAGTGACGCCACAGCAGACTCCTGGATGTGTGCCAGGCTGAAAGACGCCTTTCACTGTAAGCCAGGCTATGAGCAGAGGGCCGCTATCGTGAATAACTCTATCATGCTGAGTAAACTGTCAGAGGCTGACAGTGGAACTTACACAGTGAAGGACGTCAGGTCTGGTGAAGTCGTTGCCATTCACAAACTTGCAGTTATTGGTAAGTTTTTAATAACCGTGTAAACATTTTGACCATCACAAAATACCTAATTGGAAAAAAGATGAACAGGAAAGCATTTAAAGAGAAAAAAAGAATCTCTATATTGAAAAAGCTCCATGCTGTCTTTGTAGTTCGATGCGCTGTGATAGTTTCTTCGCAGAATTCACATCACAATGGGTTTATTATTGATTTCTTTCATCAGACTAAACAATAAAGGTGATTGAAGTGTCAAGTATGTACTTATTCATGTGTTACCTTGTTTTGCAAGTATTTATTCACGCTAATTTCCTAATTTCCTGGTCTCATTCAGGTTTGCCATCCCAGAAGTTTCCATGGGTTTCTGCCTCCATATTTTGTGCCATAATCGTGTCACTTCTCGGAGCAGTAATCTTCTTTCTTTGTCGGCAAAAGCGGCAACGGCAGACAGAGCAAAGAAAGGAGCAAAAGCAGCTGGAGGCAGGAAAAGCGAAAGATGTGACCGAACAAGAAGAACTTGTACAGCTCTCCATTCAACAAACTGAGAGCAGTATTAGATCCCCACATCCATGGGCTCAGAGTAAACCAGTCAACAGCCTGCCAGCATTAGAGGATAGTCGAGATGAAGACTCCTGTCCTAACCAGGTTTTTGACCTTGATGGAGATACACATTGCTAAAGCTACAGCCGTCCTTATTTACTCCCTTTCACACATAGATTAAGGTGACAGTTAGGCAAAAAAATCCTTTTACTCCTCAGCTGTAGTTGATCAGACATGTTTGATGCCCAAAGTTTGCTTCTAGTTTTGCACTGGAAGGCTACAAGGCTGCTGTAGCTAACAAGTAATGAAGCTAAAATGCCCACAAATGGAATCTGCAAGCCTAAATTATAATACACTTGCATCAAAACACATCTACTTGTATGAAAAATTCCAAATAGGCATGTTTGTGTGGTTTCCAAAGCGGCAAAAGTAGACAAGGCAGCCATCTTGAGGGAGTCGTAACCATGCAGTGAGAATGACGAGTTGGTACTTGCTAACGGCTAACATTCAGAAAGCATTAGTTTAGCCCCACAACAGCACTTTTTGTTTCAAAAATGTTTATTTTCCAGTTTGTATTTTAATTTCATATGCATTAATATCTTTAATCTACTGGTTTTTTTTTTTTTGGTTTGGGTGTTTTAAATAGCATTAATCTGTTAGCTTGCTAGCTTGAGTTAGACTAATTTTGTCCACATTTCAGTAACGCACTGTACTTCTGCGATAAGTCTGTCAGTACAATCTGTACTTTAGATGACACCTATTTTATACATCCACTTTACTTAGTCTTATTTTGAGCCTACTTTATGTAATGGCAGTCTTTGCTAGCAATTGCTAGTAATTGCTGTCAACGTATTTTAATACTGAGTGTAGTTGCAAACCTGTATATCCAAGTTTCCACCCCAAGATGGCGTCAATAACGCAAGTGAACAATGCACAGTGTGCAATAAATATCAAAACACAAGCTAGTGTATACACCAGTCCAAAATGCTACGCTAGAATGCTAAGCTAATGACAGTCCAAAATGCTAAGCTAAGCTAACAGTGACTTGAAGTGATTGAGCTAGCACAGAAATATTGGAACCAAAATACTTCCAACATAAATGAAGCCTTGGACCAGATATTAGAAGAACTTGTGCTATATTTTCATGCAGACAAAATAATAAGCTCAAACCGCCTCATGCCAATATACTGCATTAGTAGGATACTCTGTTGCATTTACATTACTATAAGTCAGACAACGTGAACCAGACCAAGTAAAAAAACACTGTGAATTGGACCAGTTATTTACAATATAGTGCAGTATAGCTCAAATATCGTCATTAAGAGATGATTTCAGTATCTTATCAAACTCTTATTTTTTAATCAGTGTCAGTTTTGCATATGTAGTTAATGGAAGCACAAAACTGTAAAACTGTTATGTTGTAGTCCATCCTCTATTAACACTACGAAATAACACACAGGTCCCAAATTAGTATTGGTGACCAGCCATTTCAGAAGCTTTACTTTAATTATTAATTATTTTTATTTTTTTAATTTTTTGTTTAGTTACAGCATTTAATTAAAGCATTTCAACCAAACAAACTCAACTATTAGGCCTTAAGCATTACAGGGCTAATTTGAACACCTGGCAGCTAAAATAAACGAAAAGTATAAGGTTTACTATGAAAGTACCTCAAGAACAAGTTTTTATAGTGTATTGAAACTAAAGGAGCCATAAACTGGAACATACTATGAAACCAATCAGAATATGGAGAGCCTCCTGCCTTAACTCCTGTTCTCTCATCATCAGGGCATTAAAGGAATATTGTTGTGTTTTTCAGTCCAGTCTACATCTGTAGCATCTGGTTGATTAGCACAGACAAACATTTATAATTTATTTCACTAAGAACAACAGTTCACTTGCTTTAGTATCACTCCATTATGTTTGGAGTCTGTACAAAGAAATGCACCACAATTACTGCCTGTGGTAACTGACCGTGTGCTGCAGATTGAGATTAGACGGAAAAATATGGATTATTCCTTTAAGATGTTTTCTTGCTTAACTACTGTAGCTTGTATAGTCCGTATAGATGTTTTACAATGTAAACAGAGGGAATGCAAGAAATACCTGTTTACAGCACTTGGCAATAGGGAGGAGGAAAAACTGACTGAAAACTTTCTTCAGTCACACTTGATGGAGAACCTCTGCTGCTAGTGGAACTCTTTTCTACAAACCAGCAACATCTAAACTGAGCAAAACCTCAAACACAAAATGTGTGCTGCTAGCGCTCAGTGTTTACATCAAGCTCATTTTACATTTCTAATAATAATTACCACTTAATAATAATTAATTTAACAAATGTAATCGTTTTACCCAAAGCAAAGCTAAAGTAATAGAGAAATGTTCTGCATTTTATTTATTTTTATTTATTGACTGATGGTTTTTGCACTTAAAGGTCTGTTTATGAAGTTGAGCTGCCCTTATCCTACTGACTATTTCCTATTTTATACTATTTATACTATTTTCTAGAAAATTCCCCATCCTGTTGTTCTGAAATCTCCTGGAATCACTGAGTGTGCAGTCTTTCTTATTAGTATTGGCTAAAGGCAACTACACAAAAGTGACCTTCACAGACTGTTAGTATTGGTATGCAGTGTTTGTCATGTTTAATTTAATCTGTATCTACATATGTCTATGTATGTATATATATATATATATTTATATATAATAAAAATTTTCAGAAGAGAAGCATTATTTTTTTTGCATTATTTTGTCTTTTTTATGCTAAAATAAAAGTTTAAAAAAATAAACACGTTTATATTTACCTACTTCTTTGAGTTAACAGAGCTGTACATGGAAATATAGACGTATACAAAAGTCGCACGCAACACTCCTGGTGAAATAGTTTGTTGATTTTCTTAGTCAAAATAAGTTAACATCCTCTATAAAAAAGTTTTCTGCATAATTTATAGTTACTTGCTGAGTTTAACATATAAGATTAAAACATAAGATATAACCTGTGCCATAATTTTTGCACAGTCAATATTTTATGTTTAAATGTTTTCCAGTTTTTCAAATTCAGCAAATAAATGGTGACTGTGTATTAATTGTGCAAAAATCTAGTACTAAGTGACATTTCCATAAGGTTTACATGGAATCTCTGTACAGAGATTCCTCTTATTACGTATATAGCAGTGCAAACTCTAAACTGTATAAAATACATCTTTATATAAATTTCATACATTAAAGGTCATTAAATATCTGAAGATGTCTTTAGTTTTATTATTGTAGGTGTTCAACTCTAAGATGATGCTTGGAAACCTGGCTGAAAACATCCATTCTATTTACTGTAAACTGGTTTGGAATAGTTCACTGACTAAAACTCCAGCCGACAGCAGTCCTGTGATCAGAAACTGACCACCAATAAAGGACAGCAGAAGTGATAGCACACTGAAAGGGCTGTGTACAATCTCAAAGCATACATCCATGTTTCATTGTCAACTAGTCAACAACTAGTCTGCCTTTGTATGTGGTGTTGTGTGATGTAAATGTATTGAAAAGGCATTGAATTTCAAAACTGCAGCTGTGTACTATGAAACCACTGTTAAATATGGAGTTATGAGAGAGAGAAGTTAAAGCCTGGACCCACATGCAGCTTCCTTAGGGTTCAAAGAGTTAAAACTGTAGTGACCTTGGAGAAATGTGTTCACAGTTCTGCTTTTTTATGGTTAATTTAATAGATTTTTCAGAAATTCTGCAGAATTCAGTTGCTGAGATATAAACAAAGTAACTCAGAGGGGTTTGATGTGAAATAGTGTGTTGTACAAAAAGTTACAGACTCAAGTTTCTTTACAGTGGTGGTGGAACCAAATTAGAGGGTATATGTAGTACTGAATACACTGAATTACAGAACATGTGTGTTAGAGAGAGAGAGCAAGAGAGAGAGAGAGAGAGAGAGAGAGAGAGAGAGAGAGAGAGAGAGAGAGGGAGAGAGAGGTGAATTAGAGGATATATGTAGTACTGAATTCACTGAATTACAGAACGTGTGTGTTTGAGAGAGAGAGAGAGAGAGAGAGAGAGAGGCGAATTAGAGGATATATGTAGTACTGAATTCACTGAATTACAGAACATGTGTGTGTTTTAGGGAGAGAGAGAGAGCAAGAGAGAGAGAGAGAGAGAGAGAAAGAGAGAGAGGGAGAGGCGAATTAGAGGATATATGTAGTACTGAATACACTGAATTACAGAACGTGTGTTAGAGAGAGAGAGAGAGAGAGAGAGAGAGAGAGAGAGAGAGGTGAATTAGAGGATATATGTAGTACCGAATACACTGAATTACAGGACGTGTGCGTGTGTGGTGTGTGTGTTAGAGAGAGAGAGAGAGAGAGAGAGAGAGGCGAATTAGAGTATATATGTAGTACCGAATACACTGAATTACAGGACGTGTGCGTGTGTGGTGTGTGTGTTAGAGAGAGAGAGAGAGAGAGAGAGAGAGAGAGACAGAGACAGAGAGACAGAGAGCGAGAGAGAGCAAGAGAGAGGCGAATTAAAGTAAGTAGGCCACGACTTATTAACGTGTATAAACAAGATCCTAATGCGTGGCCACAGCGTAGTAAGGCATGTAAACAAGATCGTAAAGCGTTACGTTTCAGATCTTATCACACCCTCTTCCGTGAGAGCCACTGAAAACAGGCAGCGCTTTAAAAGTGAAAGCAAAGGCGACACTTAATGGAGACGTTTAGACACACCGGGCAAACAGATCAGACTCTCCTGCTGACTCAGAGACACGATGCAGCACACAAGCTGGACTTCACTGGGCTTCCTCGGTGAGTCTTCACCTTTTAACAGAACCGACTGAATAAGCGTGACCTAAACAGCTTTATTTAGGCTCATGGGTATCTGACACAGGTTTAATACGAAGAGCCGGGTCTTTTTCTTTATAATGGGCTGTGTGTGATTTCAGGGAGAGATTCAGTCTTTAATAACTCACACCTACAGGTGATGATGTGTCCATCACTGCTGATCAACGCATTCAGATGACGTCACCATTCACCCCACAACACCTCGGAGTAAATAAAATAGATGTTTTTGTTGTTGTAGCTGTTTTAACGCTTTTAAAGGAGACCAAGATCTATTCGTCTCATGTAGGCTGAGCTCGAAAATTGTGAACATTTTTAGCATAACTCCCTGTAACCGGTCACACCTGCTCAGCCTGTTAGGAGGACTAGCTGCAGCTTCATGTTGGCATTCAGGAGATGACTGTGGCTTTCGGGAAGTCACGTGAGAAGCACTGTCATTGGGCTTTCAGTGGGTTCCCCCGCTGAATACCGGACAGGGTTTATGTTTCTTCCCCGCAAACTCTCAGAGTGAAGACCTGCTGTGTCCCATGAGCTCGAGTCCTCTCCATTTACAAGTTCGAATCACGGCGACATCTAGTGGCCAATCTGTGCTCAACACCGCGCTGTCTACGCATTACTGTGTCAATTGATCGAGTATGTGGACCCACCTACACAGAATTCATTCAAATTGAGGTCCCACAAAAAAAAAAAAACTTACTAAAACTTAAAAAAGGCTAAAAATCAGTGTGCCACCAACGGCAGCTTTAATAAAAATAATAAGTAATAAATAAATAAATAATAACTACAATTATGATTTTGTGTGTGTACAGCTGTTCAAAGCTGTGTTTGCTAGTTATGTACTGGCTAGTGATTTTTGATCAACATTACCCAAGACTGTCACTACTGAAACAGCCAATACTGAAACTTTTGGTAACGTTTCTATAGTGTTATGATTAGTTTAGTATTGAAAAAATGGAATGTTCAATTATTCATTTAATTAAAATAAACATAATTAAGGAATAGGGTCACTCAAAGTCCATGTCAATTAAAAGTACCATCATGAAGAGAGCAAAATTTTGCACTCTAAGTGTCGTGTCGTGTCGTCTGCATACCAAAGATTATTTATGTTTCTTCCCACCAGTTTTGAATTCCTGATCATTATCTTTCAGTCCTGCGTCACATATCATAGGTATCTGTCTCAGTCCTTCCTCCTAACACTGCCTGATCTCAAAAAACAACAGCAACTCTAAATGAACCAAACATCTCTTTAACACAGGGGAACTCTCAGGGCCTTCTGGACCCTTAGAGAAGACCAAATGATTTCTGTGTAATAAAAAAATGTCTGTTATTTTACTTCATTTATTTAATATAATCAGCATATTTGCTGTGTTAAGCTCTGCAAGCACTTTAGTAATTTTCTTATTTCATTTTTTTAATTTTGGTTAGGGGGTTACAATCTTGAAACAGCCATTGGAAAGCTACCCAATCAAGATTTTTTCCCTTCTGTATCTCGACAGATACAGCCAAGGGAAGTCCTTGATTAGTGCGTACACTTTTTTATTTATTTATTTATTTATTGCATTTTAAGCATAGTTTTAACCAGAACACCAAAATAAATAGGAAAACCAAAGCACTAATTTATATTTTATTCACTTTTTAAATGTATTTTATGTCTTGTGAGGTTTCTTTAAGGCACATTTGTCAAGCTCCAGTCTTCACTGGCCAAAACACTGCAATATTCAGCATGCTACCTCATTAAACACACCTGATTCAGCTCATCAGCTAATTAGCAAGGCCTTCATGAACTGAATTCAGAGCGTTAGATGAGAGTGAACCCTAATCGCTGCAGCACTTTGGCCTGGAAGGTTCCCAGTTTGACATGCCTGACTTAAGGGATGAGTGCTATTTTGTGGTTTCACCATAATTTTGCTGCTCTCAGAACAAAACCTCATATCTCCAAAAAAGGTAACTGTACAGGACAGGGAAAAATCTTTAATGGAAGTGAATGGAGAAATATTTTTTTCCAACTAATTTTGGACCATTTCTGTTTGTCCGTTCATCATGAAATTTTGATGCAACATGAAGGGAAACTGCTTTTTTCAAATATTATTATATCAAAAAATAAAAAAGAATGACAAAAATGGAGATCCGTTGCTGTTTGTTCCAAAAGCAACGATGGATAGAAAATGTTAGTAATTCAATGCTGTTTATTTGAATGTTTATTTATAAGAATGTGTTTTGCTGATTAGTGGAACTCCGTTAGATTGTAGTCATATTTCAAGACTGATGTAGGAATTTGTTTTAATGAGTAAATGGATTCTGTCTTCCAGCCCTGTTTACCATCCCCACAGTGACTGATGCTGTGATGGTGAAGCTTGGACACAGCGCCACCGTTTCTTGTCATCTGAACTGTTCTACAGTCACATGGTGGACTAAAGGCATAGAGGTTTTTCAGATTTTTAAGATTTTTGAGTTTTCTGAAGGGAAATGCACTGTAGCTCCAGAATTTAAGGACAGGATTGAATGTTCTGAAGAGAAGATCAGAGGAGGAGACGTTTCCCTCACTATAACTTCTGCTGTGTACAATGACCAAGGCTGGTACTACTGCTCTTGTGACGGAAAGGACCGGTGTGATAGGAGGATTGACGTTCTAGGTAGGCTCTGACTACATTCAGTGGGCACTTTCTGCTGACACAACGCTTTGAAATTTCATGATTTATCCATACAGATACTGTATGGGGTAATAAGGATGCAGAAACATCTTGAAAAAACATTCCTTATTCAGATTGGTACTTATACTCTTAAAACCAGAGGTGCCAAAAATTAAACTATGCCACAGGTGAGCCACTTTTGGCTCCCTGGAACCTTTCATTGGATGGTTCTTTAAAGAGTAGTTTTTGTAAATGAGATGTTAGTTACAAGTCAACCAAAGGCTTTCCAACCACCAAATGTCCAAGCCAAGAAGCTTAACAATATATAAGAAGATAATAATGGGTAAATTTCTCAAAACGTTAAAGCTGCACAATTATATGACAATCAAAGCAAGTTTCCAGTTTGTGCTGTAATCTTTATAAAAGACTGCAATTTCATTTGGCTTAGCAGAAGCTTAGTTCTTATGCATTAAAATTAAGCATTGCTAGCCAGGAGTTAAAGGTGAATTCCTCTGATTTTTCAAAAATTCTGTATGATATAGTCATTAAGATGTAAACACAGTCATTCAGAGTGGTTTAATGTGAAATGCTCCATTCTAGAGAAACTCACTCACTCATAATCGTTCACAGTGGTGCTGATAGGAACCAGATGTCCGACATTTAATGTTGTTTAATGTCTTTAAAAGCTCCCTCACAGAAGGTTATTACACAAAACATTTACGAATACACTCCCTGATGTCTGATTCATTGTTTTATGATAGTTCCAAGTTGTGAGGGTTGGGCATAAAATGCATTTAGATAAAATGGCAGTGAAGTACATGCAGCGTACCCAAAGACAAGTTATTTTTTCTAGATTTCCCACAATTTTACCATTATTAATATTATATAGTCAGAATATATGATATAAGTCAGAAGACATGTGTAGGTACAATGGTGGTTCTGGATTGTAAATAAAATGCCTACATTTGTGCTGTCGACATGTTGACCCCTGGTTCCTATTACCACCATTGTAAAGAAATAAGTCAGTAAGTTTCTATACATTGAACCATTTCAGACATCAGACCCCTCTGAATGACTTTGTTTACATATCCCTGTTACGTTAGATTTTGAAAAAACAGTGGGATCCCCCTTTAAGTAGTCACTTATTGCAGGATTTTCTATTATTTTTTAACCAACAAGGTTATTATTATTGTTACTCTTATTATTGTTGTGATGTTTAATTCTCATTAGTTTGAATTATTATGTAGCATTCACAGCTTTCCCAGTCATTAAGGAATAAAAAAACAGTACTGGTTTAATGTTATTGAGAACATTGATTTCCATCTTTTGAACAGTAACATTGCTCATTTGTTTTTTTTCCAGTTCCTACCACCTTAAGTATCTCTTTTGGAGGTAAGGCTACACTCCCTTGCTACGCTGAAACGGACAAACGGACAGTGGACTCCTCTGCCTACGTGCTGTGGGAAAAGGACGAACAGCAGGTGTTGAAGCTCGAGAATGGAAAGATGTCGTATGGTTCTGGATTTGAGCAGAGGGCCACAGTGTCACCAGAAAGCTACAGAAAGGGTGACCTCTCTCTGATCATCGATCGTGTAAGATTCTCTGATTCTGGCTTATACAGTTGCTCCCTTAAGGACGGAGGACACGGATACCCAAACACAATCTCTCTGGCTGTTGAAGGTTATTATATATTTGTCTTTTGTACTGAGTCATGTTTAAGAGAATGACAAACTTAAACATATCTAATGAGACTTTCATAGTTTCATTTGTAAATTTCAGCTCTGACCAAGTAAGGCATGAGGTGTTACTGTAGCCCATAACTCTAGCTGTCCGACATGTTAACAAGGGGCCAGGGACAGAACATTTAGTGATTTGAACATGAAAATTAAGCATTCTGGTGCACATAGAGAGTAAAATACAGCTAGACAAACAATTGGTAATTCACTTCATTGTGTTTAGCAGCTTTTTAAATACAAGTCAATGGAAAAAAAAAAAAACATTTGTTAATTTACCTTGTTAATAAACCTTTTAACTTACCAAAGTCAAAAGGCCAGTGTGTCTCAATCTGCTTATGAGACCCCTCCCCAACAGTTACAAACAGAGAACATTCTAAAAAAACTCTGCTTTTCGTTTCTTGTCTTTACACTAAAAGGCTTATACTGGTTCTATAAGGTGTAGTGCTTGGTCCCCAAAGCTTGCCACTTGTGATCCGGTCACTTAGCTCTAACAGTGATTAAAGATCAACAGAAATCAACATGTTCTCCAAAAAGTTTAGACAAATATGAAGAGGTAGCTGATTGTCATAACTGGACATGATGATTTACACACCCATTTGCACCCATTTATGGTACTGACTTTAGTTTGCTGCCATTACATCTTGCAATATGGAAACCAGGGTAATTCATGTGAATGTAATATTCATCACTGTTTGTGTACCATCCATGCCTGTAACAGTTGTAGCCAAAGTAGCCCCATCTGCAATAGATTTTGTTCCTCATTCATTTGTCTGTTAGCATTACTGAATTAAAAATAAGTTAACAAGTTAACAAATGTCTCTGTTTTTGCTCACAGCTCGTCAATATGTTCATCATAAAAAGGTGGGTCAATCTGTCTTGCTGGATCTAGTGGTCCTACCACCGGTGATGGTGTATTCTAAGGAAAGTGACGCCACTGCAGACTCCTGGATGTGCACCAGGATGAAAGACGCTGTTCATTGTAAGCCAGACTACGAGCAGAGAGTCTCTATCGTGAATAACTCTCTCATGCTAAGTAAACTGACAGTGGCTGACAGTGGAACATACATTGTGACGGATGTCAAATCTGGTGAAGTCGTGGCCATTCACAAGCTTGCAGTCGCTGGTAAGTTTAAATTAGCGATTTTAGGACAATTGAGTAATTTAAAGAGGGCAAACAGTAAAGTTACACCAGATTTAGATAGATAGATAGATAGATAGATAGATAGATACTTCATTGATCCCAAGGGAAATTCAGCAGCCAGTAGCAGTCACACAACACAGGACAGTTATAATAATAAAGGTGATACAATATAAAAAGAAGAATATATACAAAAGATTTAAAGATTCCAGGTTTCTACTATGGAAAAAGATAAACAAGATCATGTACCAGAACTTGTGCACAGGTCACATTTAATTTTTTCCAATATGTTAAATTCAACAAATAAACAGTATCATTGTGCATTAAAATGTGCAGTGTGTTCTGTAGAGGATGTGTTCATTTTTTCACTTAGAACTCAACAACAATCATCTCTTTGCTTTCTCATTCAGGTTTACCATCACACAAGATTCCAGTGATTACTGCCTCAATAGCATGTGTTTTTGTGGTACTTCTCGGAGCACTTCTGTGGCCCTGCCATCAAAAGCAGCGAAAGACAGAAAAGGAGAAAGACCTGACTGAACTTGTAGACAAATATGTACAGCTCTCCATTCAGCAAAGTGAACGTGAGGTTAGATTTCCAATACCCATATGGCCTGAGATGAAACTAAACAGCTTTTCAGCACCTGAACTAGAATACGACGACTCCTCTCTTTCCCAGGACATACAACAAGATATCCAATTAGACAATTATCCATTAGCTCAGTAATGTAAAATAGTCTTGTTTTGTACAGTATGGTACATGGTTATGCATAAAAAATGGACAAAATGATGCTGTATGGCTAAAGACGGCAGCAGCAGCTATCTTAGCCTAAATTTGTTAGCAAGCAGCACTACAGCTTAGCATAGTAGCTCTGGCAAGTGAAACATTTAGAGAATGTTTTTGTTTTTTGAGTTAAAACTTTAAGTTAAAATGTTGGTTTTCCCATAAAGCTTTTTCCATTTTGTAGCATCAGCATCTTTAATATACTGTTTCGGTTGAATCGGTGAGGGATTTCTTTGAAAGGTTGCAAGCTAGCTTGCTTGCTAGCTTGCAATAAGCTAACTTATTTGCAGTTATTCTGCACTGAGTTTACATATTTAGTTTACATATTTCTTTATCGTGTACATATTTTACATAACCATGTGGAAGCTCTGTTGGCAAGTTCATGCCAAGTGAGGGAAGAAAGATTTTAGTTTCTGTCAACCTTTTTTCATAGTAGCTATCCAAATGCTCACCCCAAAATTGAATTTTGATCATTTTAGGCTCAACTGTTGAGCCAGGTAGATGAAACAAATGAAAAAGTAGACATTTTTGCAGTGAAAGAGCCTTAAGTACATGTTTTTGGATGTGTGAAACTAAAGTAACTGTATAGTGAACTGTGAAAAACCGTCTTTAACACTGTCTTTAACCCTATTAACTGAATAGTGTTTTTCATCCTAATCTCTGTGGGCCACATCTGTAGCATACGGTCGATTAGCATAGAGAATAATAGAGTATAACAGAGAAAAAGTGTTTCTCTGTATATGGTAAATGAGCAGAACACCTGTTGACCTGAAAAAAAAAAACACTTATGATAGAAGGCAGTGGGCACCTGCTGTTGCTATTCTGAAAACCCCGTAAGAGTACATTAGCAGGTTGCCCACAGTGTCCTGAGTAGGCCTATTATGTAAAGGCAACAGCAAAGGAAGTAATCTCCAGAGTTTGTTATACAGAACGTTTTAGCTTGATGTTTATATTCACTGTGTATTGTTTTGTCTTAGCGAATGTGAAAAATGTAAGTGCATTTTAAGAATGTATGAAATTCATTTTGAAGCTCAAAAGTTCATGGAAAGCAGTACCATCCATGAAAAGGGTATGTCAATGTTCTTTTTTTAGAAGCACTACAAATGTTTATGTTTATATATTATCATTTTGTTTTTATGATTAATAAAACTTAATAAAATTCATATTTAAGCATTTCTTTGTGTTGTCCTTAAGTCAGAAATGGAGGTTTGGGTGGATGGTCAATCCAAACTATGGTTCTGCGGTTACACATCACTAATTTTATGCATTACATGAACATCATTCCCATAACGTTAGACTGCGATGCAGCAGGGCACTCTGGCCAAAACGAAAAATGTAATCATTGCTGTATATGTTCTAAATATGCTTATTCACCCCTAACAGCTGCTGCAGTATTCTCTAAAGTGAGATTTCCTGGTTTAAAGACTAGGAAAACACTCCTTTAATGATGTATTTTGAAGGCAGTAGTCAATTTTGAAATACTACACATGCTTTAAATTAGATACCTGTTTTTGTATTTACTCATTTTTTTCACTAGCTGGCTAATTCTTCAAAAATTATATAAATATAGACAAAGGTTTAAGAACTGAGGATAAAGCTGTACCACTAATGCTAGCTAGCACCACTGATGTATGTATTAGCCTCTAGATGAGTGACTATCAAGCAGAATTTGTTGAGCACTGTAGGGATTCCTAATGGCTGTGTAATGTATTTGTGTAATGCATGCTGAGTAGTGCAGTGAGAGAACACTGATAGACAAAAAAGCGAATACAAAATCATGAATTCTGTCACAGCACTGAGGGTTAGGAATATAATACTACACTACACTGCATAACATAACATAACTTATTAAATGCAAGTTTTATGTTAGAATGCTTCTTTAATCAATATTACCATGTTATTGGTCCTTATGATATTGATGGGAAATAGCAAATGAGACCTACAGCAAATTACAGATTTTGTTTTATTGTGTACTATAAGCATGATGGCTCATCTCAGATGTTACATATGATTTTCTTGAGGCGTTTTGATGACTAAAGGCATTTACGTGATCCAACAGATGTAATTACTTTGGTCAGACTAATCCAGGCCATTCTTTAACCATGTTGCAATGGACTTTAATGTACTGCAAGGCATGCCACAACTGCAATACGCACCAATTAAAACAATGTAGAATTTTGTCCATATTGTGCTCTGTATATTAAACTGGGTAGAGGAGACTGAGAACCTCAGGCCACATGTTTATTCAATGGGTCAACTTTACAGGCTTTCACAGTTGATATCAACAATAAAGTACACTACTAACATACAGCCTACATCTCACAAACGAACCCCCCACATCAGACACTATACCATTACCATAACCATAACCCTTCATTCACTCTTGCATTTTGGTGGGACACTCACATCATATTCTTACTCTCTATGGCTTTTTCTCATAAACCTTACGGATATTTCTAATCCTTTAAGTCTTTGTTTGTGACCGAGCAGATGACAGCGTTTATGGTGATGTCATTGCTTCAAGTGGCCTTTAAATCCCTCGAAAAAAGGGGCCATAAACCTCAGCATTCAGGTTGAACATGAGTCGGGGTTTCGGTCATCGGCTATTCCTGGGGAAAGGGATTCTGACTGGGCAAAACAACAGTCCAGAACACAAGGGTCCATTCATTCAGGCCTCAAAGGTAATCAGGACAAACAAACCGCAAACTAATACACCTGGATTTGTGTGTGGAAGCTATTAGGCGGAGCAGGCCCAATAAAAGGCCACTGGGGAACCAAGACCAGCACAGAAGAACTGAAACCTCCTGAGAATCTACACACTGAGAGGTGAGTACTGCTTCCGCTTTGGTGAGAAAATATTAAAGGGATACTCCAACATTTTTTAACCTAATCTCCATCTGCTGTATCTGTAGCATATTATCTATTAGCATGGATAATAATTTTCCTGTATTTAGAGATCCACAGAAAATTACTTACAATAGAAGCCAGTGGCTTTTTTACTTTTTTACAGAAAAATGTGTCATCATGTTTGACCAGGGTAATTGACCATACTGATGTTACGTCACGCTGCAAAATACAGTTGTAGTGATGCATTTCGTCCATTTGATTTTTCAACCTGCTCTTATTACTGCTTTCTCAGCCTTCAAAATGAAGTTTATTCTTTTCGTAACCTTCTTGGCCTCTGCTGCCTACGTAAGTTGGTACAATTTTTTTCATGGCAGCTTAATATTTTATACCTTTATCAATGGATGTATGTATTATGTATTATGGATGTAATTGTTGTAATAATGACCCACCTGATTTTTACCTTTATAGATGACCTCAGCAAAGGTAAGAAAGCTGAATAACATTACAATACATTTCTATGTAAAGATAAAGTGCAGGATATAAGTCACCAGAAGCCTCAAAGTGTTACGGAAAAAAAAATACATGTCCGCTCTTCAGATCATTAATACAAAATGAAGGCAAATAATTTAACAGATTTAAACAGATCTTTCAGCTATTTGTTTAACCAAAGTTAAATAGGAATTTGGTTCTATAATAAGTTTTCACACATAATAGCTTTCATAGCAATTCGCATTTGCAGAATAAAGAACCAGCAAGACGTAGCATCCACTTCGTGTAGCGTCCAGTTAAGATAGTGTTGCTATGCTCAGTCAGGATCTCTTATACATTTTTGTCAGAATCTGTGCCTGAAACTTGTTTTTGTCATCCAGAAACTGCTTGTGGTTGGTGGTTTGAACGGTGGTGGACTGGTCACTGGACTGAATGGCGGCTTGCTGGGCCCAGGGGTAGTGGTTGGAGGCCTGAACCCAGCGCTGCTTCCTGCTGGTGGAGCTGTAATAGGACAGCCACCAATCGCTCAGGTAGAAACTCTTTAGATTTTTGCTAGGCAATTGAGGCTAACAAGTAAGAACTGTAGATAAACTCCCATTACTTGTTAGCTATATTAGCCTCATAGCTATAAGAGCAGTTCAGTGAGAATCTATTTCATGCAGTTTTCCCCCTTAATGTCCATAAAATGAACAAAAGTACAGACAGTACGATACAATGGGTTTTTGTCCTTATAAAGTACAAGCCATCTTGACAAAAAAGCCATTGCATTGTATTTGTCCATTTTCTGCAGATAAAAGCATGTCATACAGTGTCAGAAACCACTGATGAAATGAAATAAAATCTGTTAAAGATTGCCTAACAACTTGGCATGGTTGAGGCAAGTGTATTCATTCAGGCATACAGTTTGCATAGTGCTAATCTGGCCTACATTACTTGTTAGATACATTAGCCTTATACCTCCTGAATGTGTGACGCAGGTCCTGAAAGAGACGCATGTGGCTCTTTTACTGCCCTGTTGTGGCTCTACAGCAAATTTGGATTTTTAGGGTAAAAATAAACGACTCTTCTTTGCAGTTAAATCTAGTAGTAGCTAACAAAACAGCAAAGAGTAAGATTTAAGACAGACATCGATCATTTGGAGACAAATGGACTTATTTGCATTAATAATCACTCCAGCTGGATTCTTGATACATTTAATCTGCAATGAGAAACTGGCAGACACTAAAAAGTCACAAGGCTTAAGTCAGCTTGTCGTTCTCCAGCTTCTTGTTCGAATTCTCCCGTTCCACCTTAAATGGTACAGCAGTTAACATTCTGATGCGTCAGGCACCATTTAAAGTGGAACGGGTAAATTCAAACAAGGAGCTGGAGAATGAGAAGCTGACTTCACCCTTGTAAAAAGTCGAATGTTGGGAGACATTTTAGAAGAAACTGTTCTACTTTTACGGAAAAGTTTCCTGCTGGAGATGCGAGAAATGCAGCTATAGCTGAGCTAAAGCTTAGAGCAGAGAGAAGCAAGTTTGTGTTTTCATTTATAATTAAATTAATAAAATTATAAATTATAATCATTTATACATTTTTAATATTTTTTTTTAAAATGGACATAAAATGTTGTGGCTTCCAAGGTGGTTTGTTTTTTTGTCTTCTTAACATTTGGGTTTCCGACCTCTAGTCTTGGCTGATTGACTACATTGGGGATGAGGGTTTTGACAAACTATTCCTCAGATAATGGTTTTCTCCTTACAGGTGCTGCCCCCGTACATGTTCCAGCCTCCTTTTGCTGCTGCTCCTTTCATGCTGCCGAACCCTCAGGCCCCACTGCCTCCACAGCCAGCTATGGCTTACCCACCAATGATGGTAAATTACATGCAAGCCAGTTAACATTCTATACAATGCTTGTGTTTGCAGTTGTGTCTTGCGTCTTTGATATGTGAGTTATGAGAATATAGAAACATACTGTGGTATTGTACAGCAGTGCTTGGTGCTAGTTGCTCAAATGTATTTGTTATTTCTCACATTTATACATTTTACATATTTACATTGACCAATGCACCAAGCAATTAAGTATTACATAATTACCAATTAAATTCTATATCATACTTGCATCATAGCGTCTTCCATACAACCATATATACCTGATAGTTTTCACATAAGTTACTACATACTTGCAAACTAGGTACCTGACATTCCATATAATTACTACAGATTTACCTACCAAACATTCACTTACCATGCTGACTAATCAAGTGCTACTAGTATTATTTTCATTATCATTATTATCAGTAGTAGTAGTGGTATAATTATTACTGTGACCTTGCTTTACTTGTAAACTATATTAAACTTGTTTTGAGCTTATCTAACCACATGTACAATGCAGCACAGTGCAAGATCATTATTATATAGGAAAATATTACTGTAATAAAAATATTATAATTATTATGTTGTTTCTATCAGGGCCTGCCTTATCTTGCGAACCCAAACCGCCAGGTCCTCCCTCCTCAGCAGCAAGCAGCGGTACAGCTCATCCTCCTCCTTTCAGCGTTTCTGAAAAAAGCACAGAACACTTCATATGAAAGCCTGTGTTTAGGCTTGTGTGACTCAGCTGATGACTTGTGTTGTGCTTTTGTCTCGACAGGGCGGACTGAACCCGATGGGAAATGGCCAGCAGCCACAGGGGGACATGCCGGCTGGCCCGGTGCCAAGATTCAGGGTAATTTCCCCTCACTAGATATATAATTATGCAATTTACAAGGAACACGTTTTGACATACTTATGGTATAGATTTCATTCACACAGAGAAGTGAAAAAAGTGATACATTGAATTGACTTGGTTCAAATACGTAGATAATTTACACATAAATAAAATACATGACAGTTATTTCTGAAAGTAAAAAGCAAGATTGTATTAATGTAATGGATTTTATTCATGCAGAAATGATAAATGAATGCATTACACAGTTCGATAACTTCAGCCTACTTTGAAGTCGTGAGCTAATCACGCTAATATCATCATTATTAAACATTGAACTCAGTATTAAATGGTCATTATTAAACATTAAACTCAGTATTAAATGGTCATTATTAAACATTAAACTCAGTATTAAATGAATTTTTTTATTAAACATACTGATTCTTCTCTCATAGCGAACACTGCTCAGGAGAATGCAAGCAGCTAATGCGAAACACCCAGGTAATGAATGATCAGCTAACCTTCTTTTTTGAAATGTGTGAGATGGGTACAAATCATCTAATGTATTTTATGAATCATTTCAGGCCACGCCAACCCCTTCTATAACCGAGCACCCTGATGAGTAGGTTCTGACTGCATATCTGTGCATCCAAGGTATGTTTCTACCAGTGTTAAGCAGATTGAATGCAAAGCTAAAGTGCAGAGAATTTCTCTTCCCACAAATAAAGTCAGTCGATGGAAGCTTAAACTGGCTGGCTAAATCATCACACACAATCACCCCAAAGTGTGTCAAATTGTTGAGTAATCTCTAATAGACTTGCTTATGTGGTTTCGGACACTGTATGACATACTGTGACATACATCTCTGAAAATGGGCAAAGATGACCAAGGCCTCAAGATAGCCACAATTTCAGCTGCGCTGTACTCTTGGCATTTTTATTATAGAAAACAGTGTTACACAGTGTCACAAACCACATTAGCAGGTCTATTTGAGATTACTCAACAACATGGCACAGTTTGAGGCGAGTGTGATGATTTAAGTGTGCAGTTTGCACAGTGCTAATCAGTATAAGCTTCCATTATTTGTTAGCTATGTTAGCTTCACAGCTCCTGTGCACAAAATAATGACTAGTTTTGATTAACTGTATTTTATACTGACTATATTATTTGTTTGTTTACAGGCATTGCTCAGAGAAGGCTGTCTTTTCGGAAACTGGTGGCAATGTTGTCTTTCTTTGTGAAAAATACAGAAATCAGGGAAATAAGATAACGACAGCAAAGCTGGATTCCTTTTTGATTAGTTAGAGAAAGCTGTTACTTTCTTTGTAGATTAACCTTACAATTTCTAATAAATTTTCATGCATGATAAAAGTTATATTCTGGTTTTTCGTCTGTTTCTTTTGTGGCTGCTCACACAGAACCATGTGAAAGTCAGACTACCTCTTTCATTTATATATAATTAATTTCACTAATACATCTAATCCAGCCAATCAAGGGCTTCTTACGATGTTAAGTAGCTGCAGCAGGTGTGGCAGATTGTGATTGGAACTAGACTCTACAGCTCCTGGTCCTGGCCGATTGGGCACCTCTGCTCCACAGCAAGGTAGATCTCCAGGGCCAGGGTTTGTGACCACTGGTTATCTGATGGGGTTGGGGTTTTGCTAGTCTACAAGGTCTTGAATGGTTGTTAGGAGTCCCATTTCTTCTGTATCCTACAATCATTTTAAACTTTAGTTAGGGAAACTAGTTTCCTTTGACTTTCCTCATCCTTATGCACGTGGATTATATCTATATCTAATCTGAAATATCTCCTGAAAACTAAAAACGTATTTAATGGCCATTTTGACAGGGAATTAAATGAAGGGGTGGTCTCTGACACAGTTTGTAAAGCTAATAACTTTAATAACCGTTCATTTTAGTTTGCACTGCCCCCTAGTGGTGGCAGTACGAACATAGTAAACAGTTTTCAAATAATACAGTTCACTAGTTTCAGCTGCGACAGATTATCCATCAAAATGATCATCCAGGTTAAAGAATCCAGATACTTCAGAGACAAAAGAGACACAAAAGAATGAGAATAACTAGAAAGCGACGACGTCACACCGTTAGGCTTAAAAGGAGACGGACACAAAGTCCAGGCCATGAAAGTTTCTCTTTGTTTTACTGGCGTTGCTCAGCCAGACAAGCCATCATTGCTAAGAGTTCAGACTGCGCTTTTAGTCCGGATTAAGCAGAATCCCGAGCTAATGAAAGCCTCTGAGCCGAAAGTCTCTGGTGGACGTGCTCATTAGTCTAAAGCCAGGCTGAGCCGCAGTCTGGCCTCGGATGAGCCACCGAGTCTGATGGTTTAAGGTCAAACCACGACAAATAACTCAACACGGTTAAAACAAGTCCATGACGCTAACGTGGGTTCGCGCGCGTGACGTCACATGACAAAAACTAGAAGCTTCTAGAGAAAATTCGACTCATGAAATGGAAACATGAGTAAGTGGAAAAGATGTTCATCTCACTGTACTTGACATAACTGCATTTTATTTGAAATAAAGTAGCCAAAACGTCTGATTTGTAGTGTCAGGGACCAAAAAAAACAAAAAAAAACAAAAAAAAACCCAGAAACATCTATTGAGAAGCTAACTGATGACCCGCTGGATGCTGCTTTCTCCTCAGCGTTTTCAGGGTGGCCCACTGATGATTAAGCACAGTGTTAGACAAAATGCTTTTAATCTTGCATTTTCAGCAAACAGTCCATTTGACTTATTTTTTAGTTTAGTAAATAATTTAATAGCAATATCATAAATAAAGCCGGTTATACAGCTGTAACCAATGTAGCACAGTGTTAGCAACAACATTTTAACACATTTTATATCAGGCCTAGTAGTTAACTTTTTAGTAGTTAGTAACATTTTTCCAATTTTCCAGACTTTTATTTTGAAATCTGTTTGAAGAGATTAAAACTAGCTAGGCCTTGTATGCAGGACAATAATCTGGGTGGTCTGAGGGTCCAGCAGTGGCAAACAGTCAATAGGGTGCTTTTATCTTCTATTTAAGCCAGCAGACCCATATATGCTGGCTGGCTGGGAAGAACCCAACAGAAACCTTTAATAATTTCTGATGATTTTTTTTCAGCAGGGCCAGTTCTTCTATGGCATCGTTCCTTCTTTTTGTGGAGCCCATGCGCTGCATTTTTCTTGTATTTTATTTTTTTTCCTGAGGTCCACCAGTGAGGTTTACATCTGTTACTGTCCATTTAAGACTGAAATATTTAAATGATCTCTGTTCCGATTGGCTGCCCTGTATTGTGTCTAATTCAAAAGCAGTCCAGGCTGAAACACTCCTTATAACTTCCTTGTGAATGGGCGTGATTAATGAACTGTAGACTGAGTAGGCAGACATATGCAAACACATTGGTTTTTGTGACATCATAAAAATGATGACTGCTTTTACAGCTCAGCCTCCATATATGGACTTTTGAAACTTTATCAATGTTTACGTACTACATCAAATTCTTTTATTTCAAATTCAAAGTGAATTCATTTTTGCATGGTATGGGCCCTTTAAGAGTGAGTATAAGAAAAGATCAACCTTATTGATCCCCAGAAGGAACTGTCTACTGCCACAGTATAACTATATGTACAATGCATGTATGTATATTAAAGTTAGAATGCTCATTTATAATAAGACTGAAGGAAGTACCACTGTGACATTGGACACTGTTGTAATGTTTGACTACATGTCCAAGCTTATTTAAAGCCTAAAATCACAATGCTTGTGGAAGAGATGATGTCAAAGTCTTTGGTCAGCTGAGGTCACCTGCAAGGGTGTTACATCATGGCCACACACTGTCTCAGACTGTGAGGATAAAAGGTACAGACTGTTTAAAAGGCAGAGGTGAGGAGAGGCTCACAGCTCACTCCTCAGTAAAGGTACAGTACATTCCAGTGTTGGCAGTACAACCATTTTTAACATTCCTGCTTTTTGATAAAATATTATTCTAATCCATAATATGCTTATGTGGACTCTTCTCCATCTCACTCAGTGCCGCAGCTGGAAATGATGAAGCTCCAAGTCACCGTTCCATTGGCTGTTCTTCTCAGCGTGTGTACTAGCGCTCCTGTAAGTGTGCATTTCCTTTATCAACTCAAAGCTTAATCAGTTAGATAGGTCCAGTTCTGAAATCTAATTGGCTCAGCCATGTTCAGAGCAGTTGTTTAATGACCAATGTTGACCATGTCCATACACTATTAAGAAACAGAAGTATGTAAACTTTTGACATGCGTGTAATTTCAGCCTTGAACAGCTTATTGCTATAATGAGACACTCATTTATTTCGAACAGCAGTGATAAAACCATTTGCCTTTTCTAGATCTTACAGCCACGACTCGGAATAATCGCAAGTAACAGCAATGAGGTATTTACCTTACATGCTTTTGTACATTTTCACAGCTTCATTGGTGTAGCTGTTGTCTTTTACAGCTCATAGTTTGGTCTTGTTTTTAGGTCTTGCGTGTGAATGGAATCACCCTTGCTGGCCTTGGCATGGGCCAAGCACAGGTACTGTTTAAAAATGTAGTAAATCAGTAAATCTCTGCACTGTGTGCCATCTTGATAGAGAATTCCATAGACTTTTCCAAATACATAATTCATTCATTCAGACGTAAACACAGTCATTCAGGGTGCTTTGACTTTAAATGATGTTCACTGTATAGAACTTGATGTGGTGGCAGCCAAGTGTCACCGAGTCTACAACACAAATATAGCCGTTTTATTTGCTATCCAAAAGCACCAGTGAACCTACACATGTACAAATTGTTTATATGTAACGTTATTAGAAAAATAGTAAGAAATCTTTTTTTTTAGTTTTGTTTAGGTACTGTTTTTGCCCTAGAACCTTGCAAGTACTTCTACATATCAAACAAGTGTTTTAGGCCAAAATCTTATCTCAAAACTATTATGAAACAGTGTTTCAGGCATCAGGCAACATATTTGAAACTATTTCCATGTAAAAACTTTTCACACTTCACACTTGTTAAGTTATTCTAGAATTGAGCATTTCACATCAAACCACTCTGAATGACTTTGTTTACATCTTAACAATGTAATGATGAAGAAAGTTTGAAAAATCAGTGGAATTGCTCTTTTATACCTGACCTGAAGTGGATGTCTTGAGTTCAGATGTTAGATATGTAATGGAGTGCAGCAAAAATGGAATTAAAGCCACCAGTGTGGCACTATGACTGCAGGTAATGGATACTAGGAGTTGGAATTGGTAGGGCCTTTATGGCAAATTTACTCTTAGCATTTAGCCGGTCATTGTCTTTTTTCTGCAGGGAACACCTTTTCTATCGCCATTCCTGTTCCAGACGCAGCCCGAAATCCTGCTGCCTCCCCAGTTTCTGAACTTTGGCCCTCAGCTGCCTGGACCCTTCCTACCACCACAGCAGAACCAAGTGCCCCCAGTATTGCTGCCTCCCAATCAGCAGGAACAGCAGATAGCTCTTAACCCCAACAGCCCCCCACTGAACCAAAAGCCTGTCCAGGTACTCTTTGCTATGTAACCACACAGCACTGTGCTATCTGACACAAGAGAATTGTCCCCTTACCTCATATGTAGTCGATCAACTAAATTGTTCTGTGTTTAAATTTAGCTTCTTTAGTTTTGTAGGAGGTGCAAGGATGATACAGCTAGCAAGTAACGGAAGCTTATACCTCACCAATTAGCACTGTACAAACTGCACTGGGTTGTTAAGTAATCTCAAATAGACTTGCTTATGTGGTTTCTGACACTATGACATACTATTATTTAGAAACATGGAGAAAATTACAGACAGGTTGGTTGCAATTATTGTCTTTTCCACTATGCGATATACTTAGTAGATCATTTCTACGACAGTTTGTCATACCACATGAGCTAGTCCATTTGAGTTTACTTACCAACTCAGGCATATTTAGGATGATATAGGCGTGCCAGCTAAGCAATGTAAAACTGGTGTAGGGTAATTCTTCACTCATTAGCTACATTAGCCTTGTAGCTCCAGCACAAAACCACAGAAGGAAACCTTGGAAACCAAGCATATCTTGGCTGTTCAAGTACACTGTAAATTCAGTTTTTACCAAACTATTGCATGAAGACTAGTACTACAATAAAAGCAGAGGCTTTAAGGCCTTCTAGACTTTCAGAGAAGGACTAAAAAATTCTGTGAAATAAATATAGAACATGTCTGTAATTGTTTGTTTATTTTTATTTTATATAATTATCATGCTTACTACATTTAAACAGTACTATCTCTCCCATTGGTTAGGCCTTCAGGAGCTGAACTGAAGGCTTAAACTATCAGATTAACCACTAACTATAATTAAGAACTGATGAAGGAACTAACCAGTCAGGTTTTGATTTCCAGTCAGTGAGACCAAGTTTGTAAGGCAAACGTTCTGACATTAAATAGGAGACTAGGTTTCAGTCAGCTGATAGAAATGGACTGAGCAGAGCAGTGCTACACAGTAAAATACAGGTTAATATATCTGTTACTACCTTCACATAAAACATATGTTTTTGGCAAGTTTTACATGTCCATGCTTGGTGCTAACATACTACTAGAAGCCCATAGGGACACAAATTAGCATTATCAGTGATCAAGTGACTGCATTGCTGTAATAGTCATGGTTTTCCTCTGAATATTTGGATCTGTATTTTTGACAGCATTATTGTATAACACAAGTAAAACTGATATCTCTACATGTTATAGCACCAGGAATGTTACACATAAGCAACAGTACTAAATGGAATTGCATATTTTGTTCAAGGTGCTTCCTCAGTTCTACCCCTTCGCTCAAGGATCAGGCGGACAGGTCTTACCCTAATTTCTTACTCTCAGTTTAGTTTTCACAGTAGTTTCAGAAGTATGACATCTAAAGTGGTTCTTATTTTTCAATGCAGGCCTTTCCGTATTATCTGACCTACGGTTTCCCTCCAAGGAACCCACTAGTTCCACCTCCAAGGAACCCACTACTTCCACCCAACCAAAGAACAGCCTCACAGAACTCAGTGAGGCCAACTCCAGCACCCCCACAGCCTGTCCAGGTAGGATATTGCATATCATTCATTTTAGAAAAAAAAACAGAGTAGTTTTTAATGTTTTTAATTACTGATTTATTTTATTCGTATTCCTTGTAATATAATTTGTATTATTATAGATATACTTAGCAACTCTGCGTAGTTTTTTGGGGTTTTCTGCTTTTTTTCTTTTGTTGGTATTTTTAATAGTGATTTTCCACAAGCATTTCAATGTACAAATACCGTTGGCATATGATTAGTGACATAGTGACTGAAACTACATCGACTTTCCCTGCGTATTATCCAATTTGACAGAATAATGTCAAGGTGTCAGATCCATGGCGTTTGACTCCACCCCCTGTTAACCGCGGCGACCGTCCTGGTGTTGATGGGGTAACGCTCTATCATATCATATCATAATTCAGTGTAACGTGATGAGCATATTAATACTGCACATCACTGATGTCATCCTTAACTTTTAATGGAAGTAAATGGAGAAATATTGTTTTTTAAGTCATTTTGGACCATTTCTATTGGTCCATTCATCATGAAATTTTGACACCTTTTTTGACCTGTATATGGTGCCAGTTAAAAGTTTGGGCACAGTTAAATTGTGTGTTTTTCAGTTTTCTTAAACACATGTTGATTTGAAGGCTTATGATGAAAGTTGTGTCTGAAGCAAATATAAATATTCAAATTATTGTCTATGTTAAATGTATGTCAAAAACAGTTTAGAAACATTTAGGAGTTTAGCAGAATTCTGAGTGGGAAAATGTATAATTGGAATGTGCTTCTCGAATATTAGTGGAATGTCTGTGCTCGATAATGCATTTCAGCCAGTCAGTTGTGTTGTGACAAGACCAGGCATGAGTAAATAGCCCTATTTGGTAGAAGAGGAGTATATCTGATTGGAGTAATGATATGAATGATTTCATGGTTTTGAGATCCACATCATTAATATTAAATTTAGAAAACAAATAGAAAGAAACGTTACAGGAGGTGTGTCCAAACTTTTGACTGGTAGTGTAAATGTGACTAAAACCATTTCTGTCATTTACAGGATCCTGCTTTCTCCTTTTTTGAACCATAGACTTTAATGGAAAAGAGGTGAGCTATTTTCTCTTATTGATTTTCCTTGGCTTCCTATTAATGCTCAGTCATGTGTTGATCATGTAAATGTATTTTTTCTCTTTTTTTGTAGGCAGCATGTTCTCAAGCAACAGCACAAAAGACTTACAGCTATCAGAAGTGTAGGCATTAGCATTTTCTTTGGTTTGGAGAAGCACTTTTCATGTAGCTGGCAATACAACAATGCTCTTGTTAGTCCACATTACGTTTGTACCAACTGACAATAAATGCTTTTGTGTAATCAGTGTTGGAGATGGAGTGTTGATTTTGCAACTTTCGCAACTCAGAAACAATAAATACAGAACACAGCAAAAAATGTGGATGCTGACAAGTTTATTGAATGAATTACAGACAGTCCAGAATAATCTGTAATTAATGCACTGACCCTCCACCACCATCTACACATCTGCTACTAACCTAATCACTAAGATTAAATCTTAACCACCAGTCCTAGAAGACACAGTCAAATGCATTCCTTGCTCCAATATGCCACTGGTTCAATGGTTCACTCCATTGTTTTAGATCCAGTAAACATTAAACTGTAACATTAAAATAAGTAGGGGTATATAATCCTATAGTGGGCTAAAGCTGTTGAATTCTTTTAATGGTCCATGATCTTCAGCTGTTCTTTGACCTGAGAATAGGAAACAGAATATTAGCTTGGGGAATGTGGTATTTGAAATGAATATTTGAGGTCAGTTACAATGGCAGGACAGTTGTACCTGTTATTGCAGATGGAGATGTCTCTTCAGTATCTCCAGTATGGTGGATATTCGTCACTATCTGAGCCGGCCTTAAGGATTGAAATGCATAACATTAGTGTTTCAAACACTGAAACTAAATAACGGAAACATTTCATTTCATCCCTACACAGGGACTTCATAAGCATTGAATAGTGCATTTATAAAGTGATATAAGTATTCATGAAAAGTATTAAAAATATGACGCAAAATATTTTCTGAAATAAATAAAATCGTATTGAAATAAAGGCCTTTACACTTTGACAGCCGCTGTTATGAAGCGGCATTCACAAGTGAGGCTGCTTAAAAGGCCGAGGCTTATAAAACAGCTTAGCGTCATCTTGCAAATGCTGACATAAGCTGTTCATAAAAGCTCAAGTATTGCTTTTTACATTCATTACTCAATGTTTACGTGTTAAGGTGTCTCTAAGTGGACAGCCTTAAAATAAAGTTTTTCCAATAAAGTAAGTAGCAAACTCGCCAGCAGAAAGCATGAGCAAAGTCCACACTGGAGGATTTTAAAAGCATTTCAAAATAGAGACACTTACCCACAAGGAGGATGGGTATTGCTGCGATATTGATGATAAAAAAGATAAAATGGAGAATGAGAATGGCTATGAGAATTATGAGAATTATTTCTGTATTATAACTGTATTTAAGAAATCACTTACAATTTGTGCAACCCCAAATTCAAACGAGACCGTTTGCTGTCGGAAAGAAAACAGTAGAATATTCTTTTAAAATGCCCTAAAATTGAAAATTTCCCCCAAAAATACATAAAGTTACTAAGAATTTTAATTACCGTAGCATTGGGGTTGTAGAAGATCTTGAAGTAATACTAAATATAGGAGAAAAGAAAGCAAATTAGAATGATAAATGGTACATTCAAATGAATACTGTAGTACAATATTGAAGAAAAAAAGCTTATTTTTATCATTTCACAGTGACTGTTACCTGAGGGCCAAATACAGGGGGTCCATGCTGATCATAATAAAGAGAAACAAAAACATTACTTATTTTAGTCATTTGAGTGGGAATCCAAGTCATTTGCTCATTTGTAAAATAATTATCTTATTAATATCTCATATCTTAATATTGTGTGTGTAATATTTTTAATCTCTTATATCTTAATATAATGTGTGAGGGTGCTTGTGAATACCCCAAACTGCGGTGGTCTTCCTCCAGTCTACAAAGGAATAACATATGGTCTTAGTATCACATCACACTATATTTACCTATATCTATACCTTATTAGAACAAACATAATAGTAAATAGTAAAACAGTAATAAAGCAGATCAAGATAAATGACCTATATGCTCTAACTTACTGGTGGTAACATGAAAACGTTCTCTCCCTGGAAAGAAAAGATAGATAACATGTTACTATTGCAAAAAGGTGTTTTCTTTATCAAATATGCAATTAATTGTAGAATTAAACCTAAATGGATGTTTAGAAGGAAACACATTACCGCTTTCAGGAACATAGAAGCATTGAGATTCTAGGAAAAAGAAAAAGGTTATGTCAAATCTCTGTAGCAGAAGACTAACAAAATAAAAAAATTATATTGCAAAAAATGTGGTAATAATAGTTATAAATAATAAGTACCTGCACTGTCACATTGGCAGCCTGTATGTGAATCCATTAAAAGAAAATGGATTGAAACATTGAAATTGAAAAGCCATTTACATCTTTACGCTATCACATATATCATAAAATCATATTTGTAAAGTCGTAAAAAAACATCTTACCCGGAACAGTGGGACGAACTGCAACATAATTGACATAATTATTATCATATTTCATTGTAGAACTGGGCATACATTCATTTGTTTATAAGAAATTCACATATTCATCTTTAAATGTCACTGCTAAAAACATACCGTGATGTTGGGTCTTACGCCATCTGGGCGAGGGCGAGGAGGGTGAGGAGGGTGACGAGGCCCACTGGGCTAAAGAGATTTAATAACCACTTGAATCTGATTCCAACAGATGAGTTTTTAATTTAATTTTATGTTATGTAAAGCTTAGCCTTGGGCCAGTTACACTTGGGCCAAAATACAATTTAAACCCAGACTTCTTTTTAAAATCCAACCCCTTTATAAATCAGGGTATTGATTTTAGTCTTTATGTAGTGCATGTTTGGCAGTAAACTTACTCTGGGAGGTGGTCTTCTACCACCATGTGATCCTCCATGACGTGGAAACCGTCTGGGGAAATCCGCAGGCCCGAAGCCCTCTCCCTATACGGAATACATAGAGCGGTACTGAGTGCTTCATAGCCTGGGCAGTTTTTAACCCAAACCCTAGGCTTATTATCCAGTTATAAATGTTATTTTGAGGTTTCTAATCACTAACTACAATACATTATTCAACAACTACTTATTGAAACATATGAAGCATATAGAATTCATAAAAACAAATATATAAGTAAATTACTAAGAAGTAATCAATAAGTCAGAAGAACTACATACATATGGAACAGGCAACAGTATGACAACAGACATGAATCTAATAAACATATGTGATTATGAGAGTTAAGAAAAGAGGTGTGAACCCCCCCCCACACACACACACACACACCACCCCCACCCTTCAAATGGTCCGAATGGAGATAATGATGGAATGGAATTCTCTCACGTTTGCGAATGGTTCGTCATCCCTCCAAGGCATGTTCAGATCTTGTCCATAGAAAGGTTCTGTTTCATCTGAGTCAGGAGCGCCCGGAACATCCCATTCACCCCCTGGACCCATAGGTGGGCTGTCAGGGCGCCATGCTTCCATCTGACCAGGCTGTAAACAGGTGCAGGTGAGTGATAGTGAACAAACTGAACCATGTCCACTGCTCATCAAAGGTTTGGGGACACCATTTTTTTTTTTCACATTTTCTTCATAGGTTTGATTTTGACTTTCAAGTAAGTTTGCGTACAACAGCTATTTGCTGATACTGTATATATTGACCCTCAACACTCTTGTCTTCCTTGGTATGAAGAGTAGATTTGATGGTTTTCTTTCCCAAATTATTGTTAAAAACATATTGAACCTCTTTTGGCCCAAAGGTGGTTTAAATGGTAAAGCGCTGATGTGTATTGACATTAAAACAAAGGGGATCAAATGAGTGGGCTTCATTTGTATTATGTTCATTTGTATTAAAAACATTTTAGAAAGCTAGGTGCCCCAAAACATTTGCTGGGCAGTGTAGTTGTATATGTTGCAGTGATATGGATTGTCATCTTCTGTGAAACTCACCATTGGTGGGAATTGACCATCGTTCCAGCTTGGCCCCATTGGTCCAGGGGGGAAGTTTCCTCCTCCCATTGGTCCAGAGGGAAACCTTCCTCCTCCTGGTGGCCAACGTCCTCCACTTGGCCCTGGCATGGGTCCTCCCATTGGCGGACCTTGCTGCCAGCCACCATTGGGCTGAAGATGTAGGTAAGTAAGAAATCAGTTATAACAGCAGATGTTTTTGTGTTTCACACAAACACGGAGGTGCCAAACATAAGCTCCCTAAAGAGGTAGTCAGTGGATGATTCTCTCAGTGGAAGGTCAACTTTGTAAATGAAATGTTTGATTGTGAAGAATACTTTGCAAGTTTAAGGAATCTCCTCATCTATACTGATTAAAGGTATTTTCGAGAACTGTATGTTCATGCCAGGAACCATTTCAGAACGTCTAAGTTTTGTCAAAAAACGTCACATCACCAGGTATATATGGCCCAGGGATGAGTCGGAATTTTCAAATATTCAAGGCATTTTTGGTTTAAAGAAGTGTTTTTATATTTGAGAAGTCTGATGCAACTCTATACTTTCACCCCTGTACCTTAAGGCAATGCAAGTTATGCTTAATTAAGCTCTTATCTGTTTAATCCAAACAGTAAAGCTTAGAAAGACTACTGCAGCCAGCTAAAGGCTACTGCAGACCGGACACGTAGTCCAAACTGCAGCTATAGCACAAAGGATGCATTGCAGAAAATCAGAGATAAACAAAAGGTTCAGGTTCATTTTACACTCTACTCTTACAGATTTCATAACTGAAATATGCTGTAATTAAGCAAGTAATGTTAGCTAAGGTTAAAGCAGAAGATTAGCATTAGTCTGATTATCTTAAAGACTAGAGTGCTGTGAGTAAATTGATCTGCTATTGGGGTTTTTTGGTCTGGGTCTGGGTTTAATGTAGTACAGTAAGAATATGATCTAAACTGGCATCACTGGCTCTGGTAGCCCTCCAGTAGCCTGTAGCCTCAAGAGTCCTATACTTAGTATATGGCCAAATGTAGATACCCAGTGCTCCAAAAAATGGTAATTGTGAACTTAGCATCTTACTTAGCAAATCATTATGAATTGTTTTGCAATTGACCCAACTACTAATGAATTACATTGTAAACAATTTGACCGAAAGAAACTGGTACTCACACGTGCATTCGCCCCAAGAAATAATAACGCCACAACGAACAAGATGGCCATTGCTGCACTGCAGAAATATGTTACATATTAATGTTACAACTTAAACACGTGTAATAAGTTACTGGATAAGTCTATTAACTAATACAACAAGTAGGACAACATTTCACTGTAAAATGAATAATGTTCTTTTGCTGAATCCAGGCTTCACACTAAAGAATGATAACAAGAGTGATGCTTACCTCCTCTTGCCTCCGCTCAGTGCTGGTCTCCAGCTCTTGCCTCTCTATTTATAATGAACATGCTGATAGTTGAGTAACTGCAATGTTGCTCAAGCACATTTTTTATGACCCAACCTGTGCTGATTATGAAAAAAGATCTTCGCATTGACCTTAACTTGGTCTTGCATCAGATGGCGTAGGCTTGCCATGTAAACTGAGAAGGCTACACCCTTAAAATGGTTCTTTAGTAAAGGCAATGGATCTTTATAGAACAATTAACACTCTAAAAACTGTTTGGAAAACCTGTTGTATGTGTCTTTATTAATTAAAGTCATGGTTTCATGTAGCACTGAAGTGTTCTGCTATTATTACTAGTTTGCAAGTCGAAGAACCTTTTTTGGTACTATATATAAAACCATGTGGTACATGATTCCACAGGTTCTTTGAATGATGTCATGGAAGAACTTCAGTCCCTTACAAACCATGTTTGAAAAAGAGATTTGTGGTTGTGAAAAACCTTTTAAATGTTTAAAGAACTTTCACACACTGTAAAGGTTGTATATCAGTTTAAGGGTTCTTCCTAATATGCACAGATTTAAATGAACAGCTTTTTTGTTTTTGGGGTCTATGTGGTTAATGAAACAGTCATTTACTTAATAATGATGAAATTAACTTATGTAATTATATATTCCATATACAGAGAATGTATAAAATAATCAAAACACCACATTAAATACTTGCACTCATTGGCCATTTTATCAGAAACACCTAACATAAGTATACTTTATAAGTTTACAATTACTGACTGTAGCCTGTTGCTGCACATTTTATCCAGAAGGTCCCCAGCTCTAATACTTTGTCAGGGGTCACAGGATGCTTTTGGCTGGATATTTTGGTTGGTGGACTATTGTCAGTCCAGCAGTGACACTGAAGTGTTTAAAAACTCAATTTCCAGGACTTTCTCAGGAAAAATTCCAAAATAATTTCCATGACTTACACATACGAATGTGACAGCCGTTGCCCACAAAAGTCATCTTCAAAGCCAACATCCATAACTTTAAAGTCAACAACACAACCCCTAACAACTCCTTACATCCAGGCACTTCAACACAGCATTCATATAGATGCAACACTAAAGCATTCCAAACCACAATAGGTATGAATGGTCATTCAAACTGAGTATTTGCAGATAGAAATATGCTAAATGCAAACATAATGCGCTAAAATGTGCGACCGCTGCGGTTTAATGGCACAACTTTATAAAACTCTTCAGTTGTCAGGACCATTCACGAGTTACCTTATTTTCCAGGAGTTTTCCACAAATGGAAACCCTGCTATGGTAGTTCCTTTTAATTGATGGACAGGGTAGAGAGGGGCTGATAAACTGTCCAACAACAGATGGACTACAGTCAGTAATCATAAACCTACAAGGTGCACCTTTATGCCTTTCTGATTAAAATGGCCAGCAAGTATGAGTAGTTTATGTTTCCATTACTTTGTATCTATTTATAATTACAAACTCAAGTATTTACAGTTAGTAGTTTTTGATGATTTATCATCATGTATTGTATATTTATCTGCATCAATCTTTTACGTTTATTTTTCTGGATACATCTTATTTATTTATTCACTGATTATTGTTTTTCATATTATTTAACATGTAGCACTGCACAGGACTAGCATAAGCATTTTATGTATGTATCTGCAACAAAACTGGTCTAATCTCATTAAAGACCCTGATTTCAAACTTTTGTGAGGTGATCCCAAACGTTTGAAGAGTACTGCATCCTGTTATTTGCTTGTGATTGCAATCATGCATTGCTTGTGAAGGTTTTTGCAGTGTTTGAGAACAATGAAAAAAACAATATTGTACTCTGTATATCTCACTAAATAAGTGTGATGACAGAGAATCATTGCACAGGCATTTTTAGCCATGCCTTAAAGTCCATAATCTCTATGGATGGTGAGTAAAGTCCGCGTAGGCCGTAATCCCTCTTGATATCATAATTAGGCATCTCCAGTCTTTAATGTGTTTAGCAAGTGCTAAACACATTGAAGAGCAGGCATCTCTAATAACGGCGGGGCATTACATTCTGGGCGTAAGAGTAATTTTGCCCTTTTCATGCCTGATGAACAAACCAGTGTTGATATAAATGAATATTCTAGGTGTGCTGATTCTTTGATCACTGATATTATCACTATATTTCAGCAATCTACTTATGTGGCAAGCTGTTGTAACAATAATGCCCACACAGCCCACGCAAGGATGTGATGCCATCATCCATCCAAGCTGTATTTAAATCCTCATGCATAGACTGTCCGGCTGAGTCACAGAGATCAGAGAAGCAGTAGCCCTTCAGAAAGGTAATTAGGTTTCATTTGGATAAGGCCTGTTTATTGCAAAATGCTTGCAGTATTTGCAGTTTACTTACATAATTGGTCGTCTGGAGCTATTATTGGCTTTGCTTCAAGACTAATGACAAATTCCACAAATATGATGACTGTAGCATGTTTGATTCGCCTTCTCGGCTTGACTTTGGATGTCCAAATAAGGCTTTAGATTGCAGTTTCATGTAAATGCATGTTACATTTACTTACTTATTTGAAAACTTGCAGGCTGAAACTGGAGTTCACACTTCCTCCAGTTCTGACTATCATAAGGTTTACAAACTCAAAGATTCAATTGCTTCCATGGCCAGCAGTCCAAAAGAGCAAGACTGGGTGTCTAACACAACATACAAGTCTTCATCATTTCCCATTTTTCTGGTAATGGGGATTCACTGTTATGTTCAGTTTCATTTGAAAGGGGGGCACTGCCAGTTATTTATCAGAACATTCTAAAACAGCTGCCAACTTAAGGATGTAGGGTGCTTGTCTTAGAAGGTTTGGTTGGGGTCCTCTGGCCTTACACTTTCTGCAAGAAACAGAAAATTTTGCAGTTTTCTATAGAACTGCAATATTTAAATAAAGACATACATACACACATACATACACAGCTGTAAAATATTAATGCAATACAAATGCAACAGATTTTTTTTGGTGTTTTTAAGTGTGAATGCCCCCAGAGTCCAGGTTACAGCTCAAAAGTTGAGGTTCTGCAGGGTCTCCATGGTAATGCATCATGCCTAATAAAAGAGGTCGCTCTCTTTCTCATATCCTTAGTAGCATCATTTGAATGTCTAGCATACTCTGTGCAATGTTTTTTTGATTCATGTGTTTGATGAAAACGTCAGTCAGTGAACTTGTATGTTCACAATATATTAGCCCTTTAACCAATGAGAGCAAAATGTAAGGTACCCAACTGACCAACTCAGCTTGCTGCCTTGTTATGCCACCCATTCACTGTGTATTAAATTTGTAAATACATGAACAAGTTAGTTTAGTATTTCCATCATCATATGATCGTTCTTCAACAAGCGATTGAAGTTTTGCCTGGCTCCTTGTACTCTGCCTTGATGAAAGTCTTGCTTGGTGGTTGGAATGAAAGTTTAAGTAAGTTATAGATGTTTTACATGCTGCTGTTTGTGTAACTTTAAAAAATGCCAAGATCTCTTAGTTCAAAAACCAGTTCAGTCATGTTTTGTCAAACTATTCAAGAGCCAGTTTTTGTTCTCTTTTCAGACTGTTCTTAAACTTTCCCGCTCTTCCTCCTCTTTGAAGGCCTGAGTTGTCTGATGGGTTTCATGGGTATGTGCCCAGGGGTCTTAGCCACTAGGGGGTCCCCACAAGCAGTTATGACAAAATTTAAACAGGTGTTTTTGCTCATGCTGAGAAAAATGTCGCTTGCCTCATCTTTCCTAAACGTCAGCTGCATTTTCTACTCCAATCACTATAGCAACTGTTTTTTCTATCTGCCATTGCTTCGGTCAAGCTTTTAGGGAGCTGGCGTTCCTGTCGATGCACTTCGAATTTGACAACTTGCTGTTGTCTTTATGCAACCAGCATAGCTCAACACCAACTCTCCTGCGAAACAATAACAAATGATGAACAATTGAACTTTAAAGGGAAATAAATAAATAAATGCATACATGAACACATGAATGAATGAAGGAAGGAAGGAAGGAAGGAAGGACAGGGGCCCACCAGACATTTGTGTCCAGGGGCCTATAATTTAATGATCGAGGCCTGCCTCTATATAAGGTGTAAAATCAATCAATCAATCAATCAATCAAAAGTACTGCTGTTGGCAACATGGAGAAACATGGAGAATGTTTTTGTTTCTTTCAGCTTTAGCAAAAAAAGGTGAGAGACCCTGAAGCTTCTATAAAAAAAACTAAAACTAAATTAATGCATTCATTCAAGGCATATTTCAATGTAAAAATGGTTTAAAAGCATCTTTCAAGACTGCCTTCCCACAGTGGAAGGATGGGCAGAAACGCCTGTGGATTTTTTCAGCTCTGAAATAAGAGTGGAGCTTGATTTTCTCCTCTCTCTCAAAGATGAAAGCTTTAAGTGCTGTTTATCAGAGGGGGACCGTTTTGGTGATTTACCAGTTTCTCTGCACCGTTTGATAACTGTTTTGCACTCCAGTTTTGGAAACTCCTTTATTTTTCCAAAAAATGAATAACTTGGCGTTCTCACCACAGTACTGTAAGTATCTATAACTATGATTACATGGACTGGCCAAACCAGAGCACACATCTTAACATCAGTAAATGTGTTTAGGATTGTACGAAGCAGACAATGCAATTAACTTCCAAGACTGAACTCTAAAGTTCTACAGTCCTTTAATCGATAAGCCTGTTTCCATATCTCGTCATACTTTTTTTTCTTATCAGTGCTGCATTATATTGGAAAACTGCAGAACATTTACTATGTTGTGGCATCAGATATGATCTTTAAAGATGTTTCACAATGATTTTGTCCAGGTCTGCCACAAAACTCTCAAAATAGAAAGCCACGCCTCATTTCCTAACTGTTGTGCTTAGTGCATATTGCCAAACTGGGTGTGATTACATTGCATGCAAAATTAGGACAGTGATTACACACTAACACTCTAGGATCCATCAGGTGTCACTGATTGGACA